ATCCAGGGAAGAGCAGATGACGTCACAGGTGTCCAGGCCACTGAAAAGGGAAAGTCGGTGGAACCTATAAAACAGCACTATTGAGGGTTGTTTTGCCCACCAGATGTTTCCAGCGATTGTTCTCAGGCATCAGAAGGAGAGGCGTCAACAAGAAATGGGTGGCTTCAGGGGGACTCTTTACTTGGTCCGTTGTGTTCTGCCCCCATTGCTTACTGTCTAGAAGAGTTCAGCTGGGAGTGTTAGTTAAGGTAACATGAACAATTCTAAAATGGGCTCTGCATGTGAGAAACCTTTGACTCAGAGAAAGTACGAATGGGTGTTTCTGATTGGCAGGTGGTTTTTCTCCAGGATCCCAGACTCCTTCCATCTTGTGGCTCTGACTTCCATGGAGCCTTGGACGTTCTTGCTCTGGCTGACAGTGAGGACTGTGCATGAGACAGCCCTGAATGCGGTGCCTGTGGCAACCAGAACCTGCCCACGTACTGCTGACCAGAGCTTGGCCCAAAACTGCAGGAAGGTCAGAAACACAGGCCGTGCCCCCAGGAAGAGAGGAGAATGTGAATATTGGTGAGCATGGCAGGTCCCTGCTTCTGCAGGGGATACATGCATTCATTCCTCTCCAGTCATAGAACCATCTAGCTAGCATTAAAACTAGAAAAGCCGCCAAAACCGGTTTGGCTCAGTGAATAGAGCGTTGGCTTTCGGACTGAAAAGTCCCAGGGTCAATTTCGGAAACTAGAAAAGCCCTAGAGATTACCAAGGCGCAGTAGTGACTTGATTACGTTCAAGAACTTGGAGGACATACACCTGGAGGAAATATCTCAGCCACTCAGTTCACCCATCATGTGACCTTGAACAAGTGGCTAAACCTTTCAGGTGATGAATGTCTTCACATATAAGGCAGGACTGACCGTGGTCCCTCATGCATGGAGGCTGTGTGAGTATTAATCTCTCTCTGTGGTTTTTCCAACTTGGAACAAAAGTCCTTTTGGCCAGAGCCCAGGACACACTTCCAAATCCTCTGAACCCTCAGCCGTGAGTCCTGGCAGCTCAGAGGTCAGTCTAGGCCACCGTCCTTCAGGATGGGAAGGAATAAAGGCAAACTGCTTAAAGGGCATTTTCCCTGGAGCCAAATCTCCTTTTTGCCTCAGCTGACTGCTCAAAGAAGCAATTTAGCAAATGCATTTTATCTCAGGAGAATCTGTCTTTTGTTTCTATGACTGGCTTGTCAGGAGCCCCGGCCTCCCGCTCCCTCCGTGGAGCGTGGAGCGTCTGAGTGGAGTATGAAGTGTGGAAGCATTCAGGTCCTGCTAATGAAAGCCCACCCCCCGGCTCAGCATCCCCCTGGAGAAATGACTAGACGAACCCTGGCTGAAAAGGAGCCCGTTTTTAGGTTTTTAGCGTCTTCGTCTTCCCCTTGGATAACATCAGCCATGCAGTCGGCAATAAGCAGCCCTAGATTAGAATTTGAAAGGGTACATAATGGAATCATGATAACATTGCTCAGGTCTGTGCAGCACTCTTCAGTTTGCAAAGCACTTCTACATGCGTTTGCTCATTTGAGAAAATTGCAGGGAATTAGTTAAATCCTGAAAAGTAGAAAGAGGCCAATAAAGTTCACCTGCGAATCCACCCCTCAGACGAAAGCTTTGTTAACACGGTGACGGATTCCATTCCCTTTGGTCTGTTTTCTGTGTGTGTGTGTGTGTGTGTGTGTGTGTGTGTGTGTATGGCGGTTGTCTGGCTCTTTGCTGTATGGGACATGCCGAGTGTGCATTGCTATGGCCTGCTTTGTTCCCCGAGCACTGAATCTTCCACCAGCTCATTTGGCCCTCGCGTCCATCCCCCAAAGCTAAGTCATCGTGTTGTGAAAAGGCCCACAGTTTGCGAAGACCGGATTCTGGAGCCAGACGGCCTCTCTCTAGCTGTGTCACTGGCCAATGACCGAAACCTTCTGAGCCCGTTTGCTCCTGCTGTAACACAGAGACGTGTGCTGACCGGGCCCATTAATAAAGCCAGGCACCTGGAAACACTTGGCACTGCACCTGGCGCACAGTAGGTGCTTAGTCCATATTAGCTAAGCAGAGCTGCCATTCGCCGTGTTGGTAATAAGTACAGTAGAGCTCAGGGGAGGTATCTGGGGGGTCCAGAATCCTGGAGAGTCTGACATTGTAGGTATGACTGCACCCCTGCTGTGCTTCCCACAGACCCAGTGTGGTTGTAGACAAGAGTATCACCTAGACCAGTGATGGCGAACCTATGACACTCATTTTTTTTGGTTGAGTTCTCTTTGTTAAATGGCATTTAAATATATAAAATAAATATCAAAAATATAAGACTTTGTTTTACTATGGTTGCAAATATGAAAAAAATTTCCATATGTGACACGGCACTGGAGTTAAGTTAGGGTTTTTCAAAATGCTGACACACCGAGCTCAAAAGATTCGCTATCACTGTCCTAGACCTACTCCTTAAGCATGGGGTGGCCACAAGGGACCTGGGGCTATAGATGCCACCGAACCACGTTATTGATCCTGTGAAGTTCATAGATGCGGGCTTCTTAGCCCCTGGGATTATGGGTAGACCTCCCCCACCCAGGGCAGGCCGTACTTCAGGTTCTGGTAGCACTTTCATTGGCCACTGTTTCCTTTAGTATTAACATGAGGCGGCTGAGTGTGTCCAATACAGGCTGATTGAGCACACAAGGCACCTAGAGGTCCTAGCTAGGCTCAGGGATTCAGAGGTGAGTGGGGCAGCCCCTGTCTTGAGGAATCCACTGACTGGGTGCTTTTCAGAAAAGGACTCTTGGAGCCATGTTCCTAGGCATGGCATGCCCGCTGACTCAGGGGGGTGTGCCCGTGCATGCACAGAGGGGAGGAGAATGCCCATACACACATGCATTCCTCGTGTCCTGGCTCCTCGTGTTTCTTTCTCGTGTGGTGAGTCTTCTTTTGATCTTCATCAAGAAAGTTGTCAGCAAGGATGTGGGTCGAATCCTGCAGCTCAGAACGGGTCCCTCGGCTCATGGGGTCGTAGCTGGAGCAGGAATTCCCGTGTCCTGGTCGCACGCCATTAGTAGAGCTGCAGCCTTCAGGTAGGCCAGGGCATGGGATGGAACTCGAAGAGCTAAAGAGCATCCCGATTGCATCCTCTGAGCCATTAGAAAGTCCGATAGCTGAGACTGTCGTATGTCCCTGGACCTCAGTGAGCCCCGGACTTTGGAGGACATATGGGTGCCCCTGGCATTGGACACAGCCTTCTGAAGAATGCTACACGCACTGACTGGGCCGAGGCCCGAGAGGCCACCATCCCCTGCTATGCGGGACGGGCTCACATCACGAAAGGCCCCTCACTAAGTGCCAGTGCCCCCCCTGGCAGTTGTCTATTGCCCCGACCTGTAAAACCTCGGTGGTGTATGGGAGGTGTTTACTGAGGCAGCTCTGCTGATCGGGGCTGGGCTCGCTCCCTCACTTGGGGCCATTGGGGAGACTGTGGCTCACCCTCGGGCTGGCTGGCCCAGGACCTCCTCACGGCAGGGGTGGAGGTGCATAACCGTGGACTCCCCTTGAGGCCCCCCTCAGGACTGGGCAGCATGGCTTCCCCGCCATTCGACCATCCGCCAAAGCAAGTCACAAGTGCAGCCCAGGTCCAGGTGTGAGGGAAGTGGTGATGCTGGGAGTCATGTGACAGCGGGGAGCGTGAGAGGAGAGGGAGAACTGCTCAGTGAGTGGAATCCTCCGCATAACGTCATCCATCAAGCGATGGTCTCAACCGGCACTAGGTTTTACAGGAGCGAGTTAGCATATTTTCTTGTTGACAACTACACTATGTATTGGTTTGGAGATTTTATGTTTCTTCTTGGAAAAGTGCTCCGTTACTTTCAGCCAGGCTAGTCCCTCTAGCCAGGCACATCTTAGTCCGTGTTCAACTACATGTCCTCATGTGATGGACAAGGCTGATGCAACAGAAATAATGTTGGAACCAGCTGTGTGACTTTCACCAAAATCATTCATGTTCAAACATCAGTTTTCAAATACAATGTGCATGTGACAAATCTGTGCGTTCTACATGCACGGTGTGTCGTATCCTCACCAACGTGTACACGCGTGTAATCTTGACACATATGTTTCCCTCAGCCGATGAGCCTCTCTCCCGCCTGTCCCCAGTCCGCTCACTCCGCACCCACACCCACTGGCCCCACGCCGGTCACTGTCAGTGCTCTTTCACTTCCCCTGCACTTCTTTACCTACATGACGGGCACCGTGATGCCTGCCTGGGAGGGTCGAGGTGGGGTTTGCAGGCGACGGGGGTATATCAGCATCTGAGCCAGCAGGTCTGGGGTCCGTGGATCTGCGTCTGCTATGTCTGAGGCTGAGCCCTCAATCCCTGTTGGTGGGTCAGCTTGCTCTCTCGCTAGTTGGGCAGGAAGGAGCAGAGTGGAGCTGGGTGGAGAAGGTCTACAGGCAGGTTCATGAGCGATAGTTTCTGAGGGGGAAAGAGAGGCTGGCGCTGAGGCTCAGACTTAACCTGGATGACTTTGAAGGAAAGGCTTTGGTGTGGTTTTGCTCTCCTGGTGCAAAGACTGGCGTCCGTGGCTCTGGGAGAGAAAGGCATCAGCTCACGCGAAGGTACTGCTCGCTCAGTTCCTCACTCTTCTGTGACAGTTTCCCCCCTCATGTTTGAAAATGTTGCGCTAGATCATCCAGGCAAAGAGTGTTTGCTTATAGGGCGTTTGTGGATGGTTATCCATTGGTCCCTGCTCACCACCATCCTGCTGAGCTCAGAGCGGCCTCCCTTCTCGGAGGCTGAGCTGCCCTTCGTGGTCCCCGTTTTGAAATCAGAGTGACTTGCACTGGAGGGGGGAGGGGGGGGCGGGATGGAAACAGCGATCTTGTCCTGTGTTCGACCGTCAGCGATGTTCAATGTGACAGACTCAGGGGAGGGCTCCCGGCCCCCTGGGGCTTCCCTTCTTGTTGCCACGCCTCTCCCCTGCCTCGCAGCTCCAGAAGCAGCTCTCGGAGCTGGATGAGGATGACCTGTGTTACGAGTTCCGGCGAGAGCGCTTCACCGTCCACCGGACCCACCTGTACTTCCTGCACTACGAGTATGAGCCCGCCGCGGACAACACGGACGTCACCCTGGTCGCGCAGCTCTCCATGGACAGGTAGGGCAGACCGGCCCCCTCCGCACAGCCCTCCCCCGGTCACCTGGAGAAGGAGGGAGGGCCTGCGAGCCGAGGCTATTGGGGCCTGGTATGGTAGGCTTGCGTCCCACCCCCTCTCGGCACGGAAAAGCAAGGGCTCTTGTCTTTTGGTGACGGTGGTGGCTTTGAGGACGGAGGGAAGGGAAACGCATAGACTGGACCCACAGTCACCGCTGGAAAGCAGTTGCTGTTTCGTCTCCTTCCGCATGGATCGATCCACTGAGCCTTTCGCAGGCAGGACCGATGTGGCTCCCACGCTTAGTGGCCCACAGTCTGATGCCCTGGTTCTCGGCTTTGGCTGGGGACAGTCTGCATCATCCGGGGAGCTTTTAAGACAAATTCATGCCCAGGCTCCATTGCAGGCCAGTGAGGTAGGACTGTGTTCTAAGTTTGTGATGTGCAGCCAGAGTCGAGAACAGGGGGCTAGTGTATAAGCAGCAACGAACAGCTACGTGAAGCTGTGGTGCTTTGAAGGACCCGGGAGAGAGAATAACAGTGTCAGGTGAGGGGCCTTCTGCAGGAGGTATGGTCAGGGGGAGCCTTTCTAAGGGAGGACATTTCTGCAGAGACCTGGAGAATGAGAAAAGGAGGCAGGCGTAGGAGTTGCTGAGAAAGCGGATGGAATAGCAGGTGCGAAAGCCCCGTGGTGGGAAGGGCCTTGCACAGCCTGATAGAGAATGAGTGCAGCTGCCGCAGGGCAGGCCCCTGGGAGGGGAGGGCCTGAGATGGAGGCGATAGAACTTGGAAGCTCATAAAACACTGGGACTTTATTCTAAATGTGTTGAGAAGTTATTTAAGATTTGTGCACAAAGTTGTTAGATCTAACTTGAGGTTTTTTTTGAGACCATCTCTCTGGCTGCCAGGAGGTGAGTGGTTTCAAGGCCCCGAGGCCACTCCCTCAGGGCCCCACTTTTCTATTCCTGGCTGTCCTGGGGCCCCCCCCACCACTGCTCACCAACTTCCTCGGTGATTTACTCGTGGCCCATAGTGGCTGCCCTTGCCCCAGCTTCCTGCATGTCATCCCTCCTCAGCTCCCACAATCAGGAAAGCAGTTCGGCTCATTCTGTCCCCGTGCCCCCTCAGCGATGCCTGTCCGGCCTGTGGATGCGATTCCATGGGCCCTTCTCAGGAGTCAATGAGTTCATTCCTGTAAAGTGCTGAGAACAGGGCCTGGCACGCTTACGTGTTCGATAAATGTCAGCTGTTATTAGTCACGAGTGATGGAAGAACGCGCAAAGGGAAGAGCCAGCGCTCGGGCAGGAAAGGTACCCAAGTCGTCCGAGGGTTCTGGGGAGTGGGCGGGCCTTGAATCTGTGCATCTGAGAGTGATTCGGGCTGAATGAGGCGGAAAGATCCAAGAGGAAGCCGATTCCTTGCTTTCTGATTCTTACTGCGTGTTAGCAATGACTACTCGCAGCACTAAACAGCTTCTTTGGCTTGCGGTTCTGTGGCTTGTGGTTTCCTGGAGATTCACCAGCCTCCAGGACCCCGTGCGCAAGCACAGAGGACTTGCCGACCTTCACAGGCAACAGGCAAAGACAACATGAGACAAAGGGGAACATGAAAAGCACAGAGACTCTAGCACCAGATCTACCGGCCTTTACCGCTGTGTGATCTCAAACACTGATCCAGAGGCCTTCCCTTCAGACCCATGATCCCCCTAATGCGTTGTGACAAGTACTGCCATCCTGAGACACCTCAGAGACCCCGGGAACCCCACGCCCCAAGGAGAGACACTTAGCAGGACATAAGCAAAAGTTTCCACTCAGTGCCACAGCCGGTGAGGAGGTACAATTCCCCTTCCCCTCCATGCTGTATAGCGGTTATGATGCAGCCGCTGGCTGGTGCCCATTGGATCAATTTTTAATTTAGGAAGCATTTCAGATGTCTGTAAACCTTCGAGTCAGATGTAGGCCCTGCGTGAATGCCACAGGGACCTGGGGGCTGCCGGCTCCGGCTCCCTCCAGCAGTCCCTTCAGGAAGAGTGAAGGCCCTCTGGCGCTGGCAGGTCTGCTCCAGGGACCTCCCTCCCATCCTGGAGGCCCACAGGACCGATGAGGACAGAGGGATCCCATCCTGATCCAGCATCCTGGCCACCAGGAGGCACCTTCTCTCTCCTGTCCCTTGGACAACGTTGGTGAAGAACTGATGTTCTCTCTCCTCCTCTGATTTCGGTCTCTGGAGAGAGGCCCCTGGAGGAGAGAGAACATTAGCTGAGCTAGCAGAGCTGTGTGGCTCCGAAGGGCCAGGTGACACAGCATCACGCGGGAGCTTGTTGGACATACAGATTCTGGGGGCCTGGGAATGTGCTATAAGAGGCCCCCTCCCACGTGATCCTAAGCAGCTGACAGATGAAAAGCACCAGTTGGAGAGCACGAGGTAATTCTTCAGTACCAGCCAGACAGAGTGAGCTGCTCCTGGGCAGGGCTTCCTCGCATGGAAAACCCAGACACAGAGTCAAAAACCGAGCCAGTGGGCGAATCCACTGCAGAAGCTGGCGGGCCTCTTCACGCCCAGGCATGCCTCCCACCTCCACCTCCTTCCAGCAGCTCTTCTGTCCTCAGGTTAGAAGTGACCCTTGCCCTTGACTCCCCAGATTTCAAAGGATGTGCAGAGTCCTCCCTTTTGCAGCAGATGACACTGGGGTGCAGGTGGGGTCATGCAAACCCCCAGATTGGCAGAGTGCAGCGGGGGCCAAATGCACCCGTCAGAGATCAGGTTTCGTGGAGAATGTCGTGCCTCCCATACCCGGCTCCGGCCAATTCGATTAGCAAGTGTCACAACGTGTGAGAAACGGGGGGCATCTTACCCTGTGAATATCTTAATCCTCCAAAGAGCAAGCAGAAGCAAATCCCGCAGAAAGAGAGGACACTCGGAAAACCGTGGGCACAGGACAAGGGTGCCTGCTTTCTTTTGTTTAGAAGCATAGAAATGCAAATGCATGGAATCTATTTCCTGGTAATTGTCCAACTGAAGTGGGCATTCTGACCGGGAGGCCGCTGATTAGGTGCCTCTTGCTGGGTAGGGAAAAAAAGTAGAATAGGTTTTGCTTTTTCCTAACCATGGATTTTGTGTAGCAGACACTTCTACTGCCTTGAAGAAAGAAAAAAAAAAAACACAAAAAACTATCTTTATAGATTTCTCTTCGTTTTCACAGAGCTCTCTCTCTCTGGGCTCTGTTCTTCCCCAGTTCTCCTTGGCTGGTGCCTCTCGGGGAGCCTTGCAAATGGCTGTGGCCCTGGCACAATAAGGGCTCTGAAAAGTAAAGAAGGAAGGCGCATTTTTTAAAAATATATAGTTTTACTAGAGACCCAGTGCACGAAATTTGCACACTGGGGGAGCAGGGGATCCCTCAGCTTGGCCTGCACCCTTTCGCAGTCTGGGACCCCTCTGGGGATGTCCGCCTGCTGGCTTAGGGGAGCAGGCCTAAGCCGGCAGTCAGACATCCCTCTCGTAGTCCGGAACCCCTCGCTCCATGCTGCTCGCTCCTGCTTACCTCTCGGCTCACTGCGGAGACGGGAAAGGCTTCCACCACTACTGCTGTGTTTGCCAGCCATGAGCCCGGCTTCTGGCTGAGCAGTGCTCCCCCATGGAAGTTCACTGACCACCAGGGGACAGCTCCTGAGTTGAACGTCTGCCCCCTGGTGGTCAGTGCACATCATAGTGACTGGTTGTTCTGCCGTTCAGTCGATTTGCATATTAGGCTTTTATTATATAGGATTGATTTCAGAGTGGAAGGGAAAGGGAGATAGAAACATCAATGATGAGAGAGAATCATGGATCCACTGCCTCCTGCACGCCCCCTACTAGGGATCAAGCCCACAACCTGGGCATGTGCCCTTGACCAGAATCGAACCCAGGACCCTTCAGTCCACAGGCTGATGCTCTATCCACTGAACCAGGCACACTTTTGTCCCCCACATTCACGTGGTTTTCCATTCACTTTACCAAACACCCAGTATTGTTTTCTTCTCACCGTCCCCAAGGCCCTGTCCCTGTACCTGTCTACACATGTCTGCTCCAAGCCCAAGAATCAAAGTTGACTTTGTTATTGGTGGAGTGGGGTTCTTGGGGTGCCGCTGGAATAAGAATTTCAGGAGGCCGCCACGGGAGGATGAGATATTGTAGAAAGCTTTATTTCTGTGGAATTGCACCCCTGAGTTCCCCCTCGTCCTGCCGTGGAAGGAGTGTAGCTGTGGTTTCAGCAGGGCTAAGGTCAGAGCCAGTGTCCAGAGCTTCTGCTCCATGTTGGAGCAGTGTCCATTCCAGCATCAGCCTGACTGTTTGTGATCCTGCTGCAGCCCATTAGTCCACTGCATGTGGTGTCCCCATGGCCACATGGTTATGGAGGGAACACGGCAAGTGCAAGGAAACCAGAGCAAAGCCAAAGGAACCAGAGAGCCAAGAGCAAGAAAGTTCCTTTGTGTAGGGGATTATGTGTTCCCGAGCTTTCCCAGACTTGCATTAGCCCCACCCCTTCCAGCCAATGATTTCTGTTCTCAGGTTTGACTGACAGGCACCTTTTCTATGTCACCCCAGCTTCACTGTGGGTGTGCCTCTCTCCCCAGTGATCTGTGGGGAATAGGCCGGTGTTCCCTGGGGAGTGTGAAATTGCATCTTCCTGGTGAAGCTGCCCAAATGGCCGTGCTATAATGTCTGGCCTCCCTCTGCTCCTTTTCTGTTATTAATAACTAGCTAGTTACAGTGGTATCAACTGGACCTCTGGAGCCTCCGTTCCCTCATCAGAAGAATGGGGAGAAGGTGCACAGGGCTGTTGGGAGAATTCTGGAGAGTGTCTGGGGCATGGCAATGAGTCAGATAATTGCAGTTATTATCACTCTTACGTTCACTGCTTGTTTTAACGCTCCGTGTAACTCACGGCCTAGGTTTGGCTCCATCTTTTGTGGCTGGTCACTGCCTCAGGAGCTCAGCAGAGCTCTTTATCTTTCCTGAGAGAGGAGGAGAGGGATAGCAGTTTTGAGCTGGAAGGGAATCCTTAAATCATTTAGCATCATCTTCACCACCCTGTTGAAAAGAAAAGGCGTATTTTGGGATGTGACTTTCTCAGTGTCACTCACTCGATTAGAAGCAGACAAAGACCAGAGCCAGCCAGGCAAGTGGTTTTATGCCCCTCTGGTCAGTAAGGATCTGAGGTTTGGTGATTTGCCCCCCGTTACACCGTGATTTGGGCTCAGGCTGGTTGACCAAGTGCCCGTGGGGGAGGCAGAGCCCCCAGGAGGGCGGGTGGAGGATGCGCGGATGGGGCCGGGTCCCGTGGCTCACCTTCCTGTCTCTCACAGGCTCCAGATGCTGGAGGCCATCTGCAAGCACTGGGAGGGGCCCATCAGCCTGGCCCTCTACCTGTCGGACGCCGAGGCCCAGCAGTTCCTCCGCTACGCGCAGGGCTCCGAGGTGCTCATGAGCCGCCACAACGTGGCCTACCACATCGTGTACAAGGAGGGCCAGTTCTACCCCGTGAACCTGCTGCGCAACGTGGCCATGAAGCACGTGGGCACGCCCTACATGTTCCTGTCTGACATCGACTTCCTGCCCATGTACGGGCTCTATGAGTACCTCAGGTGAGGGCCCGTCTGCCAGGACCACACCCACCCCTGGGCTGCCCCCGGGTCTCCTTTTTCCTGGTGAACAGATTGGAAGGAAGCCCAGTTTGCCTCCTGAGATGTTAGGGGCAGAGCATGGTCTCGAAAGCATCTCTTTTGCCCCCCAGTTTAACGTTCTTTTTTTAGCTCCTGTGGAAACCCCATTCCTCGCCCGGTTTGGAGGTCAGACTTCCTTCATCCAGTCATTCTAGAAAGGTCACAGCCTCATCTGTGGAACAAATCAAAGTGATGCTGGTGGCTAACCCCTCGTGGGGTCCTTGCTGAGAGGCAGGCACTGTTCTGAGTGATTGACACGCAGGGTTTCATCCCCTCCCCCTTCGGTGCCTGCCGTGGGTTCTAACCATCATTATCTTCATCTTCCCAATGGGAGACTGCAGGAGTGAGATGCAGGCTGTTAGTTCGGGGTTCCACACCAGGCAATGCGGGGGCCGGGCTCAGTGCGGGGTGAGGGGTTGCGGGGGGGGGCGGGGGGGAGTCATCTGACTCTGGGCACTGAGCTCACTCACCTCCACAGCTGCCTCTCTGCCTCTCCAGTGAGTCTTCCCCCCTCGCTCCCACATGGAGTGGGGCGGCGGGGGAGGTCAGGCATCCGGGGCTGGAGATACTGAGCTCGTGAAAGGCGTAGATGGCCGTGCGGGGAGCGACATTTATTAGGAATAGCAATCTGAACTGAAGGGACTGTAGAATCCATTCAGCCCTGAAGTCCCCCCATGAGAAAGCTAAACTCACAAGGTGTAGATGGTCAAACATTTGAGTCCTTTATCACTGTCATTTGTCAACGTGAATTATCTCCTCTACCGAGTGAGTGCTTGCCTGGGCCCAGGCTCCATGAGAGGTGTTTGCACATATTAATTACCCGCTGGATCCACACCTCAAGTCCAAAAGGCAGGCGTGGCGAGACCCCCCGCCCTTTACCACTGGAACAGTGAGGCTCGAGGAAGCTAGTCATCCACCCAAGTCCACACAGCGGCTCTAGGACTTGAACCTGCATCCGTCGGCCTCCAGGTCTGCAGGCTGCCCTGTGTGGGTTCCTGTCTGATGCACTGGGGTCCCTGGCTGTCCCAGGTGCAGCCAGAGCTGAGCTCTCACCCTCCCTTCCTCTGTGTATGTATGTGAGTGTCTGTCTGTCTGTCTCTCTCTGCGTCTCTCAGTCTCTCTGCCTTCCTGTCTCTGTCACTCTTAAAAGAGCTTCCAAAAGAGTTGAAACGGTTTGCAGTGAGGCTGGCGTGTGGGTGATGCGGGCGCCCACGCTTGCTCTGGAAGGCAGCGTGTTCTCCGTCCACTCTGCAGCGGGTTTGCTCCCAGGGCTGTCTTGGGGTTCAGAGCTTCAGCCCCGCCCCTTGAGCAGGAGGAGCTCCCTTCCAGCCTCTCCATTAAGAATGGCAGCGTGAGCGACCTCGGGGCAGCATGACCCTCCTTCCGGGAGGACAGGCGGCATCTTCCCAAAGAGCATGCGCCCTGGTCCAGAGCCCTGGGAACCCCAACTCCTGACTCCGGGGGGCACTGGGAATGGGGCTGTGCTGCTGCAGCTGGGCCTGGAATCCCAGTGTGTGGAGTGAGGGCGCCCCCGTGTGGCCAGACAGAGCTGCAGCCCCTGGTTTCTGTGGCTTCTGCTGCTGTTGGGCAGTTTGCAGGAGGACCACTCTGGGGGGGCAGGCAGGGCTCCCAAAGGACCATATGGTGGGAACCAAGAAGAGAGAGGCTTCAGGAACACAGCCCATCCTCCACCCTCTGGGGCTCCACGAAAAGGGGAACCCCACCTTAAAAGCCTGCGTTCTCTAATCTCCCCATCCAAGCACTATTTTATTACTTTGCCTCATGGCATCATGTTTTGAAAGACATCACACGTGAGCTGTGTGTTTGTATGCTGCCTTCCTGTGTTGTGTTGATCAAAGACATTGCTAAACACTAATCGAGACCGTGCTCAATGCGAGGCGCCCAGTGTGCCCACTAAGTAACACTTACTTCACACAGCGTCGCCTGGCGTTGTCATTGGCTGTGGCCACCTGTGGTTCAGGAGTTCTGAAATATTGCCCAGTGCTCCTAAGACTCCACTCCTGTCTTCACGGCCCCCGTCTCAGACAGCTGGTGTCTCTCCACTTTCATTGTGGAGTTATTGTCGGGGGGCAGGGGGGATAGGGGCAGGGGACGGGGCAGGGGAGGAGAGCTGGGCCAAGGGCTTCATAGTTTTGAGAGGAGCTAGAAATGTGGATTTTCATGTTTTCGTTTTTAATGTTGACAACTAATTCTTTAAAAAGGCATCTTGTTGAGCGAGACCAACCTATCTCCAGGCCGAATGGTACCTCCCACCCCCACTCCAGACTACCCCAGGTATGACCTCTGACCTAGAGAATTCCTTGGCAACAGACTTTTGAGAATCGGGAAGGAATGTGATTCTATCGGAGGCCCCACAGAAGCACGCAGTGTCCTTCTCAGAGGAAGATAAACGTGTTGACTTGCCGTTGGTTTAAGGAAAAAGATGCCCATGGAGGGGTATAGATTCGTTTCTGATGCAAACACTGAAAGTGGATGTGCTTCGTGACCGGCCTGGGAGTGTTGGTTTGGGATGAGGTTGAGGATACTGTTAGCTGAGGAGGGCGTGGACCCCAGTGAGGCCTGGGGATGCCCCTAGAGACTGACTTCCCCCGTGTGGGTTTGCAACAAGATGCTCCGCCCAAACACTGTGAGAATATTAATATTAAAATGATAGTTACAATGTATCGAGCGCTGATCATGTGCCAGCAGCCCTGCCAGCTGCTTCGTGTATATTCTCTCTATTCTTCACACCTGCTTGTGAGGTCAGTGTTATCACAGGTGACCAGACGGAGGCCCGGAGAGGTAGACCTGTGTCCAGGAGGCAGCTGGCCTGCCCTCTGTGACAGCTGCCCATGATGGAAGGGGCCAGATCACTCTGAAACCCCAGGATACAGGGCAGGCTCATATGCAGCCCTCTCATTGGACCCCCAAACACTTACATCACCCTTTTGGGGGGCCGACTTGGGCACCAAAAAAAGTTCAGCATCATAGCTCCCTAAGCCGTTGCTTGGCAACCAGCTAATATTATAACAAAAACAAACAAACAGATCCATTGGAAAATAATGAAGGCAGTTAGATGCAGGGACATGGCCACAGAGTTTCACTAAAATCTCTCTCCCGCCCCTTCACCTTTTCTTCTGGAGAAAGCCGTGCCGCTGTTAGTCTTGGTTTCGGAAATGCCGCATGGAATCCGGCGGGGCCGCGGCAGCCCTGCCTTTGAGTTCAGGTTGGGGCACCAGTACCCAATGTGTGACTTGAGGCGGCTTCGTCTCCCCAACCCTCTGTTTACTGGAGTAATAAAGGGGCGAGTAATAGCCCCTGTGGGGGTGTAGCAGGTGCTCATCGGAGTGAGTTTTCTGTCCTTGGGCCTCTCACAGCACTCGGCGTCGAACATCTTTGCCAGGCCCCCACCCCCAACCCAGCCACCGTGAGTGCAGCCCGGCTCACTCCATATCACCATCTCCATTTTCTTTCTTACAAAATGAGAAACTGTATGCTCATGTTCGTTCAAGGAAATATTTAGTAAGCACTTACTGTGCGCCCAGCAGCCACAGTGCTGCGTCCCTCAGACCTGCATTTAATGCTGTGGACTCGTTACTCAGCACCTGCCTGACCTGGACAGGGCCCCCAGCCTCTCTAGCTGTCTCCCTCTGTGAAATGGGGATCATATCACTCCTTCCCTCTGGAGATCCTGGGGAGAGGGAGTGAAATAGCACGTGGAGAGCACCTACCACAGGCCTGGGTGTTCCTCATTCCAGGAATATGCTTCGCAGGTGTGTCTGCGTGGCCGGCTCTAGGCCCTGGGGGTTCCTGCACTCAGGGTTCACGTTCTGGGGGGCGCTCCCGCTGGAAGCGCTGGGCTATTCTTGTCATCAGTACAGACACAGAGAAAGGATCCAGGGGCTCAGATTCCCAGCAGGTGACCCAGCATCATGGGCTCTGGGCAGGAAAGGCCTCGAGGACAGGTGATGGGGCTCTGGCTTGAAGCACCGACAGGCGTAAAGGCAGGAAGTACCCAGGCACGTTTGAGGAATGATCTGGAACAGCAAAGGGATCGCCGGTGGGAAGCCCACGCTGCCCTCCACGGGGCACAGGGCAGGCTTCTCGCCGCCTGCACTCACCGTGCAGAACCCTCATCCTTGTTTGGGA